TTAATTTTTCCCTCCAAAATCAAGCAAAATCTAGCTCTAACAAACGGGAATTTGTCTTCTCTTTCAGCTCTTTTATTTGATTTTCACAGTAATCTGTTTAGGGTGACAAATAAAACGCAGGCAGATGATTGTGTTTTCTTCTCCTGGCAAGAAAAAACTGGCAAAGGACAGTGAAGGGTTGAAGAGAATGGGCAGATGGAGAGAATGGACTTGGAACAGGTGGGGACTGTCAGTCCTGCTCTGTGAGCCCAAGCACCCTGCTGATAAGCAGTGCACAGCATTATTCGGAATCTGGTAAAAAGCAGGTAAGCCTGCTGTCAGCCTGTACTGAAGGATTTTTTTCTGAAAATACTCAAAAGCCCTCTATATTGGGCGTCAGAAAGTGGCAAGAAGCTAAGTTCATATTTTCTAGGGTTTTAAGCTCCAAAACTAGAATTCTGAAATGAGGGAAGGAAAAAAAACCAGAGAGCTGACAACTCAAGTGAGAATGAAACAAATTGTCACAAGCATTATATTAGTAGTGAATAGATTATATTTGACATGCAAGTCAGAAAGTAGCCCATCCACTCAGATATGTGGGCTAGTTTTACTCCTAAAAGGATTATAAAATCCTTTTCTGTCTTTTGGAACATTCATTCACAGCTCCTACCTCTCTCAAGTGTTTACTACCAAATGAGTTACATTAAGTCATGTCAGGAAGCCTTTCCCTCCTCCTGAAGACTGAGAGGAAGGCTCTGCTAATTTCTCAGCCCTTTGATCTTCTGATTCCGTCTCTCCAATCGCAAAAGCAACTTCTAAGGATAATTGACCATACAGTCAGTAAGCCATTAATTATAGACATAGCAAATACTTAAATTGGGAGTAATCAAACATAGGATTTCAGCAACATCAGTAAACACTAGTCTACTCATGCAACATCCTGAGACAGAGAACAGGAGTTAACATTTGGGCACCTTCTGCATGCTAGTCATTTTGTTTAAATGTCATGCATGAGAATAGATGTATAAAAGAACATTTCTTGGTAATACTTGTGAATAAGTATATAATAAGTGTGAGTTTCTCCTTACCCTTCTCCTTTTTTAATGGTTATCTAATAATTTAATCTTTGCCACAATTGAGTATCCTTAATACAGATGAGAAAATTGAGGTTTAGAGAAATTAAATTGACCAACTTTGTCCAGCTAGCAAGCAGTGACACATAGCATGGACGGAGTGTGTCTGTTTCCAAAGTCCACATGCTTTTTCCAGGGCATCTGGGTGCCTACAACAGTAAATATAAATAGACATTTATTTCTAAGACTGGTTTAGCAATGCAAGCAACTTTGGGAGTCTCTCAAAATTGTTATAAAAACCCCCTCCTATTTTGAATCAAGCCCAGGGGAATATAGAATAAGCCTGCCACCTTGAGGCAATCCCGCAGGAAGAGGGCACCGGAAGCCAGCATCACTGCATTCAAGGACAACTTGAGTGGCGAGTACCACTCCCCTCTGCTCTCAGCCAGCCCTGCCAGACTGTGTGGGAGAAGAAGTGTACTCCCACGCCCCCCAGAAGAGAAAGAATCTACCCTCGCTGATTACAAGAAGAGGAAGTCTTTGTAGAAATGAAAAAGAGGAGAGGGAGGCATTGTACTCTTCTAAAATCCCACACTCATACGCACCTGAAAAAAACAAGGTATATATTTTGCATTTGAGGTCCATATGGGTATGACTTGCATAGATAATTTCTATTCATTTGTCTGTTTTTGAATAAAGAAAAGTCATGTCCAGAGGTTAGTATAAATTAAAGATATGGAAGTATCTCATTGAAATTCCACAGATGTGCTGATCCTACCCTAGGATTTCTCTCATCAAAAGATTTCTCTTGTCGTGCTGGTGCTGACTTATTAATAAAGATCATGCTTTTATTTGATTATTTATCTAATCAAGATTCACCTTCAGTTTAATCTCATTAAGTCTGCTCCTAATAGAGTGTGCTTGATGGTGGAATTACATCCAAGTGAGACAGAGAATGTGTTCAGGCATTAAGGGTCAGAAACAAAGGCAGAGCACCCTGTAAGCCCATGTCACCCCTTGAGTGGAGTGTGTGAACTATCTGCCAACTGAATAGAAAGGGTACATATTCAAAAGGTTAATTTTGTAAAGTAAGGACTGACCATTATAATTAAACATACTTGGTAACCGAGCAAGAAAAATGACAAGCACTCTAATTATTAAAAAAATCAAGAGAATAATACCCGTTCTTTATATGTATTGTGTTGGGGAAACCTTGCTAATGTGTTTTCAGGTGAAACTTCTGAGCTAGCTTCAGGATATTGGTTGCTCAGTGTGCCCCAGCCTGACTCTCAGTGACTTGCATTTGACCTGTTTCCTTCCACTTACTGGTCTTCTAAAGTGGTTGTAATACAACCCAGCCTAATAACATCTAGACTATTACAGTCTCCCCTGGATCTTACAGAAACAGACAGCAAAATCATCTTATTCTTACCTTGTGGGTGGTTGCTGAGTTCAACTGCTATGGATAAATCTTCTTCTTTAAGACCTTCTTGCCCCACAATTAGGCAATTCCACGTTTTTGTGAGGCTAAAAAACCTATTGCTACCACAGTGCCACACTGAAAGAGGGCCCATGAACAACAGAGCTGTGCAGTTAACTGAGGCCAGTATGTCCCCTCCTTGGAAACGCTGCATCTCAGACTTGGCACTGTAATAGTCTAAATTATTTATCCAGTCAGATCAGAGAGAAAGCAGCTAAGAGCTTCCAGAGCGTCTAGCTTTAGTTCTGGGATTCAAACTGAGACAGGAAACAGGACAGGCTCCATCAGCAAAGAGAAAAAAAAACAACTTTTCTTCCAAAGTCCTCTTCTATCACCTTTTATGTCTGGTATAAGCCTCAAGCATGCGAAACTAAGCTGTTCCCATTTCTTAGAGTCATTGAGTACTGTGTGGCAAGCCCTGTGATATACAAAATGCAAAATAAAAATGACCTTTTCCCTCAATGAGTTCATGTACACTCACTTGGACAGCCGGGGAAAGCATATGGAAAGTTAAATTTCTCACTCGTTCATTCCAAATACAGTGTGTCAAGCACTGTGCTAGGTACTTGGGAGGCACCATCGAAGACTACAGGCCAGTGAGTAAGACAGGAAAGCAGATGATTGTGAAAATACCATCTGACAAATTCACTGTTGGGTAAATGGTGTAAAATAATAGTGAAAGAAGATATGCTATGAGACAGTATAGGATTAATTTCTCATTAAGTGATACATATGGTAAAAGTTATGAGATTGAAGCAGTTCTTAGTTTTGGTTTTGCTGCTGCTGTACCCCAGTACCAGTTACCACCCTACATGTATGTATGTGCACATGACTCTTCTTGGACCATCTGTACACAAAAGAGGACTGGAAAGTTTAGCCAAGGCCAGCACTTTACAATCTTTTGATTGGTCATCCAGACCAGAAAGTGGATCTGGATGGAATGAGCTCATTGATGAGAGAAGTGTTTGCAAATACAGGTGTGTTCCTCCTTCTGGGGAATTTATCTCAAGCTCAAGAACCATCCTTGAGACTTGGATGGGAAACAAAAAGATTACCAAAAAACTTGTGTTTCTTATTATAGTAGATTGGAAATGCTTATACAACTGCTTTTCTTATGGGGGTTGTACTTAATGTTATAACTCTGTAAATGTTGCTTGTTACTTGCTAGTCTCTGAACTTCTGAATCTAATTTGTATCTTTAAAAAAGATACAAATTATGTCCTGATGTCCTTTATTTTATTTATCTATATACATGCCCCCTTCCACCCCATTAATTTCTTGAGGGAAGGAGCATGCCTTATCCATCTTTCTAAACTCCTTATTATAATGTAGCACATTTCCTTGTATGTAATAGGCACTTAAATATCTATCAAACGAACTACATCCTTAAAAAATGGATGATGCATTGGGCATTCGGGTTTAGGGCCTTCCTTTGACCCCAGTCCTGAAATTTACCAAAGAACAGATTTCCCTTCCCTAAATGGGAAAGATTCATGCAACAGGAAAAGAGGGAGAAACCAGCTTGCAATGATAAGGGATAGAAAGGACACTTCCCTAGCCAGCTAGATCAGTGAAACATTACTAACAATCAACAGCAAAGCAGATGTCAGATTACCCTCACATTCAAATCTAAAATTCTTATTGGAAAGGGAATGCTCATTGTGTGAACCAGCATTGGATATTATAGACCAGGCATGTCCAGCCCATGGTCCATGGGCCGCACGCAGCCCAGGACAGCAGTAACATGGCCCCACAAAATCTTTTAACATCATGTGTTTTTTAACATTTATTTTCTTTGTGATCCCACGCATAATTCCATTTTTGAAGTTCACAATCATGACTTTTTATGACATCGTTTTTTGGCAGCACATACATTTGTGAGCAGCTATTTTCAAATATAAAGCATGCGAAGAGCAAAATTTGAACAAATATTTCTGACAAACTCCTTGAGAACTCATTAAGAATTGTGGCCACTTCCATCAAACCAGACACTGATAGATTAGTTATACAAAAACAAGGTCAAATTTCCCACCAGTTTTATATTGTTCTCATTTTTCTAAACTTTATAGCAAAAAATATTTTAAAAGAAGTCATATTATGTATATTCACTACCTATATTATATAATTTACATGCAGCCCAAGACAATTCCTCTCTACTCAGTATGACCCAGGAAAGTCAAAAGGTTGGACACCCCTGTTGTAGCCTATAAGGCCTACAATGGAATTGGTCTCATGCATAATCACAAACAGAGGGAGCACTAAGAAGAATAAAAATGGCATTAAATTTGGTTATGGAGTGCATAGTAGGTATCACTTTTGCTTAGAAATTATCTTAGAGGTAGCACCAGGCTAGAAAGAGAAAAGTCAAAGGCCCATAAACCTATAATACAAGCCACGCAGGGAAGGGCTGACATCCACAATAAAGTTTTAGTTCTTGATCATCTCATTTCTGTTCTCAATCTCTGCAGGTGGAATTGGCTGTGTAGGCCGAGACAAGGGCCAGGTTCGAAAATGCCTTGATGTGGTGGAGATCTACAACCCGGACGGGGACTTCTGGAGAGAGGGCCCTCCCATGCCAAGTCCCCTCCTTTCCCTCCGAACCAATTCCACCAGTGCAGGAGCAGTAGATGGGAAGCTCTATGTCTGCGGGGGATTCCATGGAGCAGGTACTGGTTCAGTTTGAAATGTTTTGTAACCTTCCTTGGTGTCAAGTTGACCTCTTCTAACTGACACTACTGCCAGTGAATAGAATACTCTTGCGAGCAGCATGAGCACTAGCAAAAGCATGGCTTTTCAAGTTCAGGGACCGGCCGGGCTCGGTGGCTCAGCCTGTAATCCCCTGCCTTTGGGAGGCTGAGGTGAGTGGACTGCCTGAAGCCGCAGGTTCGAGACCCGCCTGGGCAGCGAGACCTCATCTCTACAATAAATCAAAAAATCAGCCGGGCGTGGTAGCGCACGCCTGTAATTCCAGCTACTTGGAAGGCTGAGGCAGAAGGATCGCTGGAGCCCAGCAGATCGAGGCTGCGGTGGCCGGGAGTGGCCACTGCACTCCAGTCTGGGCAACAGAGTGAGACTCCAACTCAAAAAAATAAAATTAAAATAAAGTTCAGGGGCCCTGAGAGACTCACCAAGCCTCTGGGCCTGGGTTTCACATCTACAGAATGAAGCTGCCATGTCCACAGGCTGTTGGAAGAATTAAATGGGGGCCGGGCACAGTGGCTCACGTCTATAATTCTGGCACTTTGGGAGGACAAGGTGAGAGAACTGACTGAGCCTACGGGTTCGAGACTAGCCTGGGCAACTTGGTCAGACCTCATCTTTACAATAAATTAAAAAGTTAGTCAAGCGCGGTGGCACATGCCTGTGGTTCCAGCTACTTGGAAGGCTGAGGCAGAAGAATCTCCTGAGCCCAGCAAGTCGGGGTGGTGGTCATGAGCATGCCAGTGCACTCCAGCCTGGGTGACAGAGTGCGATTTCAACTCATAAAAAAAAAGAATTAAATGGGATCTAGTCTATAATGCATCTGGCGCTTAGCAGATACTCACTACACAGTAGTTGAATATGAAGAGAAGAGAAATGGAAGAGATAGCCTAATGTCTGAAGTAGGACTAAAGGAGAGATTTTAAAATAGGAAAACAGATGGAAGTGGAGTACTGACCAGAAGTGTTGGTTTTATCTCTGCCTTTAGTGATCAAAACTCAGAAAACTCTCTTATTCCTACCCCACTACTACTACTTAAAATAAATTGCTTGGTCGGGCTCGGTGGCTCAACCTGTAATCCCATGCCTTGGGAGGCTGAGGTGAGTGGATTGCCTGAGCCCGTGGGTTCGAGACCCGCCTGGGCAACTTGGTGAGACCTCATCTCTACAATAAATAAAAAATTAGCCGGGCATGGTAGCGCGTGCCTGTAATTCCGGCTACTCGGAAGGCTGAGGCAGAAGGATCACCAGAGCCCAGCAGGTTGAGGCTGCAGTGGCCGGGAACGACCACTGCACTCCAGTCTGGGCAACAGAGTAAGAATCCAACTCAAAAAAATAAAAAATAAAAATAAATAAAATAAATTGCTTGAAAGAATTTCTAAAATAATATCTAATATATATAGATATTTATTACTGAACTTGGTTTCCATATATCTCATTGTACCATCATTGCATTCAACGGTATGATATATAATTTTTTAATGTGACAGAGAGATTTTTAAATATGCATAAATCTAGTAGGCAAATGTCTCCAAAGTTTGATTACTTGCATCAGTAAATAAGGCAGGATGCAGTTTAATTTAAAATGGCTAATTTTAATTCTAACCTCACTAGCAGAAGTACTAGGCCAGTAAACACATACCTCAAGAGCACTTAAAATTTTGGAGGAATGTTAGATTAAAATAAAGCTGAAACTGCAACTAAACGGAGTCTTTTATAAGCCTACCTTTACTCTTTAAGCCTGCAGTTATATGTAAGTTAAAGAATAAGGTTTTCATTACAAGTTAAAAGAGATTTGGGGGATATATGAGCCAAATGCAATGAGTGGACATTATTTGGTTCAAACAAATCTTCTATAAATATATTTTTCAGATTTTTTCAAATAATTGGGAAATTTGAAAATGGACCAAGGTGTTAGATGATATTATGAAATTATTAATTATGTTAGAAGTAATAATAGCATACTAATTATATATGTAAAGAGAAAGAAAAAATTCTGAGCTAGAGATTGTTTAGATGCATTTATGGGTAAAAAGGATATGCTATATGAAATTTCCTTTAATCTACTCCAGCAAAAAATTTTTTTTAATGGAGACAGGGAGTAATAATAGATTTTACAACATTGGCAAATGCTGATAAGTATTAAAGTTGGATAATGGGCACATAGGACTTTATTTTACTACCTTTGCATATAATTGAAAGTGCTCATAATAAAAAGCTTTATTTTTTCTCACTGTATTTGTTCTTCAGAGTATTTTTCAAAGACTTTTTTTATTGTTTTAATATCTTTTACATTAAGTATGATATGCCATGCTTGGGTAAAGGCTGTAATCTATCACAGTAGCAAGAAACCTGAAACAGCAAGTAATCCTAATCACTACCCCTTGTTCATACTCTGGGTGCAAGAAGGGAGATGAGGAGTTAAGAGAGCCCAGGTGCTGGGCCCACTCATCTGGCAGGGCTCTCCTGAGTCAGCTGTGATTGTGTGACTCCTCTCCATCCTCTGGCCTTTGGCTTTCTGACCAGAAAAGGACAGAGGATACAAGGGGCAGCCACAGGACCTCTAGAAGAATGGATGATAATTAGCATCTAAGGACCTAGAAGACATTCTGTTTTGTTTTGCTTCTTTATCTTATCTTTCTTGTACAATATTGGGTTAGATAATTTGTGTCCTCTAGTTTTTCACATATGCATATATAACTTCTCTCCTTGATACTATAATGGACTGATAATGCTTTCAGTCAGAGGAAAAAGAATTTACTATATAAACTCTCAAATTCTATTTTAATTATCTAGGTCTAAGATGGTAGATTGGAGTTAGCTGAATGGTCACTGAGACTTTATGCAAAATAAAAAAATAATATGATAGCATTCCCATTAGGATCTAGAGATCTCATCATCAGACTTAAAAACAGACACTGAAGTTTTCTTCTTGTGTGACACAGACCTACTTGCCTCCTTTATTCAGAAAATCATTGTCAACATATAGTAATGGTTTTGGTAAAATAGTAGGCTGAACACTGCTATTTTCTCTCTCAGCCCCATTAAAATGACAGTAAGTGGAATAAACACAGTTAGACAAAGAGGAGAAAGGACAATAGCAACAAAAGTTTGGACACTGGAAAGCAGATGGATGATGAGTAGTAACTAACTAGATCTGAGAAAGTGTAGCCCTAAGCTGGCAACAGGAAAAAGCAAAACAAAAGCGACAACCAAAAAAACACGTTTATTATAATCCTGATAATCTCAGGAGTTGGCAACAACAGGTAACTCTGGAAGAGGGAATGAAGGTGATGCTGAAATCATGAATATTAGTTGAAAGACAGGATTACCCTCATCTCCTGTCATACTCGCAATCGTGAGACAAGGCCCTTCTTTCATCCCAATATAAACTGAAGTTGAGGACAGGAATTGAAGTCAGACATCCAATAATAAAAGCAGAGGGATTAGGAAAAAGATTACATATTGAGATCTTCCACCTCTTTTCCTCCCTGGCTCCCAGAATGTGGACAGCCAAGCCCTCCAGGCAAGAGATTGGATGGTTCTTCTTTGGGGATTTGACTAACCCCAAATAAGGCAAAGCCTTATTTTATAACCCCAAAATAAGGCAAAGCCAGATCACCCTGTAGAGAACCTCACAGAAAAATATTTTATGGTATTCTACTTTTAAAGAAGAGCTACCACTCCTATTTAACATAGTAGAGGAAGTCCTAGCCAGAGCAATCAGGCAGCAGAAAGAAATTAGAGGTATCCAAATAGGGAAAGAGGAAGTTAATTATCCCTGTTTGCAGATGATATGATTCTTTACCTAGAAAACCCTAGAGATTCTGCCAAAAAACCTCCTAGCACTGATAAACCACTTTGGTAAAGTCTCAGGATACAAAACCAATGCATAAAAATCGGTTGCGTTTCTATACGCAGCTAAGAATCAAATAAAAAAACACAGTCCAATCACAATACTCAGCTCATAAAACTCAGCATTTATCTAACCAAATAAGTGAATGAACTTTACAGTGACAATTGCAAAATACTGCTCAAAGAAATCAAAGATGACATAAAAAATGGAAGAACATCCCATGCTAATGGATTGGAAGAATCAATTTCATCAATATGTCCACACTGTCCAAAGCAATGTACAAATTCAACACAATCCCTATCAAACTATTAGCAACAATTTTCACAGATCTAGAAAAGACAATACTTAAATTCATATGGAAGGAAAGAAGAGCCTGAATAGCTAACGCAATCCTCAGCAAAAAGAACAAAGCTGGTGGCATCACAGTCCCCAACTTCAACTTTACTACAAGGCTACAGTAAGCAAGCAGCGTGGTACTGGTACAAAAATAGACACACAGACCAATGGAACTGGATAAAGAATCCAGAGATAAAATGACAGACCTTCAATGAATTCAACTTTGACAAAGCTGATAAAAATAAACACTGGAGAAAGGAAACCCTATTTAGCAAATGGTGCTAGGGAAACTGGCTGACTACATGCAGCAAAATGAAACTGAACCTCTACCTATCACCATATACAAAAAGTAACTCAGAATGGATCAAATACTTAAATGTGAAACCTCAAACTATAAGAATCTTAGAAGAAAACCTAGGGAACACCCTCCTGGACATCAGCCTAGGCAACGAATTCATGGTCTCAAAAGCAAATGCAGCAAAATCTAAAATTGACAAGTGGGACCTAATCAAGCTCAAAAGCTTCTGCACAGCAAAAGAAACCATCAGGAGAATAAAGAGACAACCCACAGAATGGGGAAAAAATTTTGGAAACTGTGAATCCAACAAAGGCCTAACATGCAAAATCTATAGGGAACTCAAACAAATCAACAGGAAAAAAACCAAATGCCCCTAATAAAAAGTGGGCAAAGGACATGAATAGACATTTCTCTAAGGAAGACACACAAGCTACCAGCAAATATATGAAAAATGTGCAATATACTCATGTAACAAAT